CGTCAACAGTATGTTTATCATATTTTGCGCTTTATTGGTGGCGTATATTCCAGCCTGGATCGTAGTTTTGGTTCGAATCATTTATGGAAGAACACAGTACTTGGATAAAGCAACCACAGCAACTTTGACGATAGTTCTTTTGAACTCGACAGTGAATCCAATTCTATATCTATGGAGAATGAAAGAGCTGCGACAGTCTGCCTTGGAAGTGATAGCACACATAATCCCGATATCAGTAACACGGAGAAGTATTTCAAAAAACGCCGTTGAAAATGTTGAACTGCGCGCTGTGTGGCAATAAAGTGTTGCTGGACGACAGTTTTCTTGCCTTTCCGAAGCTGCCGAAAATGGCTCAAGCGTTTGCGATTATCTCATTACTAGCTTTAGCGGGACTTATAGGGCTAGCACTCTTTGTTGTTCTTTCGACGCACAATCCCAATGGTTACTTTTGACATCCCACCTTGCGTGTTTACGTTCAGTCCCGAATCTTACCCTCATTTTGCTTTTAGATCCCGAATCCCGAGCTTCAAACAAAGGAAATCCCGGATCCCGAAAAACCTATTGGGGACCCTCTTTATAACTTTACAAGATTTGCACAATTTGTGATGTTTTTTTGTGGATATTCTGAACATGAGAACTAAAAAAATAAAGCCAAAAAATCTGCTCATTAGCAATTAAAACTAGAGTGGCACCTCGCCACACGAGTAGAATGCCGCCGTTCATAGGATTATCTCATTATTACGACCACAAGATTTTCTCTTGGACAAACTGAAAAACCGTCAATCATTTTCATTTCTAAACCTCTCGTTAATACGACGGGGATTTCATAGCCTTACAATGGTCGCCTGATTAACTAGGTTCCATACCTGTAGTCACTGAAGAGATCATCCTATTATGATGTCTTGCTGAAGTAAATAACCGTCCATAGGGGAGAGACCGTACTGTTTATTTTTTTTTTTTAAGTTAAGGGTCTAAATAAAATTCTTTCGTGTGACCATTCAAATAACAGATATGAACAATACTTGTCTGAGGTATTGATCATTGATGGGCTATATAAGACACACGATCTATACTCTTAAGATTGATCTTTCAGACGAGTACTATTACATGTGTTAAACAAAGGTTAAATATTATTGAGCGTCATTTTTTCCTTCAATAATTTGGAAAATGAAATTGCTTCACTTTTAAACCGGGGCCTTCATGGTAATAAAACTTAAAAGGACTGGCAACTTAATATCATTTTTTAGAGCAGGTGTATAAGGTATTTATTACCTTTTGGGTGACAAAAGGTGCTAAGTATAATTTCGCTTTTTTATCTGTAAAGACAAACAAGGTTTTAAACCACTTTCATTAACTTCGAAAGCTTATATTAGACAAAACGTCATGGATGCTACACTTAACACTTAAGAACCTCGAAGTAGCCACGATCTCTTAAATTATTCTCATTTAATTAACCATGGGCAATCTGTCCGAATCTTCAAGCCAACCTCTTCGCATCTGCGACTTCTACCCCAGACCCACCACAGACGTAGAACACATTTCCACGGCCGCCTTAAACCTGTTTTTTTCGGTTTCGGCAATAATTTGCAACACACTCGTCCTTGTTGCAATTCGTCGTACGTCTTCTCTTTGGCTGCCCACGAAAATCCTTCTGTCGAGTTTAGCATTTGCGGATGTCTGCGTTGGGATTCTTGTACAACCTTTTTTTGCAATGAAAATACTCCTTGGTAACAATCTTGCACGTTGTGTCGTAGGAGTGCTGTTTGATTTTCTTTCGGGGCACCTTTCTCTTGTCTCTTTTACAACAATGATGTTGATAAGTATTGACAAATGTATGGCTGCCCAGCTTAAAATGAGATACCGTATTGTGGTGACCACAAAACGTTCTCTTATTGCTGTGACTCTCATCTGGGTCTTTGCAGTTCCATGGGCGATTTCGTTCTTCTTGAGTTTACAGGTTTACTGTATCTTTATCGTAATAGTCGTTCCCGTATGTTTTTCGATAACTTCGGCTGCTTTCGCGAAGATCCAGTTTGTTCTACGCCGACAAGGAACACAATATTCAGTAGCGGCCAGTTATAACACATCTACCCTGCACCATATAAAAAGATGTGCGAGCATGTCCCGTTATAGGAGCTCTGTTCGAAGCATGGTATATGTCTACTTTGCCCAAGTTATTGCATACTGTCCGGCCTGGTTGGTCATGCTGACACGAGTGTTATCTGGCACAAACCCCGCAGCAATCCGAGTAGCGACCGATTTAACATTGACTTTTGTTTTTATAAATTCTACGGTAAATCCACTGTTATATTTATGGCGGATTAAAGAGCTCCGAGCATCTGCTGCTGAAGCTATTT